TGTGGAGGGGCGGCTGTGCCGTGGAGCGGGTGTTTGGCCCTGTGGCGGACAGCCGCCTCGCCGGGGTCGAGAGGCTCTTGTCCGCTAATGCGGAGTGTTGTAAACGTACATCGAATGGAAACTCGCTCCTTCCCCGCTTACTGAATTCATAACAAGTAAAGGGGAAATGGTCCCAAGCAGGTGATAAGTCTCGCTCAGGTAGTAGAAGTGTTGTAGATTTGCCCTTTTGTATGGCCATGTATGCAACAGTAAGAAGAAAAAAAAAAAAAGATTTTTCCATTCAAGTTAACTTTACACAAAAAACGCATTTATCTTTTTTTTTTTTTTCTTTTATGACATTAAGAGCCTTCATACTTGACATTAATGATCCCCTACTTTTTATTTAGTACTTAAAAAAGCAGGTGACATTGGAGCTACTTCTGCCCGGCAAGAATGTTTTATCCGAAAATTGTTTAAAAAATGGCTAAATTGAGCTAGGTAACAAGGGGAAAATAAATAGGCAAGTTCTTGTAGACCAAATTGATGCTGGTACTCTGGTTTGGTGAGAAAGAGGTCCTGCTAAATGTTCTGGTCGTAGCATTTAGTCCCCAGTTGTGGATCAAGGAATGGTGTATTAATTTTTGTGAAGGAATGAGGATGGAAAGAGGAGGTAACCAGGTCATACAAAATGTTAGGAGTTTATTACATTAATTGGTTATAATACTGGCGGTTTCAGTTGGTATCTGGATGTACCTGAAGGGGATGCAGGCACCGTGATGCGATACTTTGTGGCAAAACTGTTTAAAATTGGATTGCAAACTTGACTGGCATAAATTGTGTAATACTAAACCAGATGTCAGTGTGTTTAATTTGCTTAATGAATATTCATACGCAGCTTTAATTTTGTAGTTCTGACACTGAGAGAAGCAGTTTTAGTGCTTGTTTCTGAGGTTGGTTTTGCTTTCGTTTTTAACTGCTGGAAAGATGGACATCAGGAAGTTTATGAAAACCCCGGGGTTACTTTTACTATTGAAACTTATGCAGAAGACAAAAATAAGCTTTGAACAAACAAAGCTCTCTCAATCAAACGAAATTTTAATCTTTATGACTATTGATTAATAACAATTTTATTTTTCTTTTTAATGATTCAGTTGTTATACAAGAAGACTCCTCCAAAACGGAGTATGAAGTAGTTGGACGTTTTCCATTAGTTGACCCTTGGTGGAGAGTTAATGTTAAAGCTAAAAAAATGGGGTCGAAGTACTTTGTGCAAGGATATCCATCGTATTTTCTGCGGACTGATATAGCCGAAAACAACCGACAAGTCTTTTCACTTTTTCTTAAGGAATGTGCTGTTCCCGAGGATTTTAAAGAAAAGTTTTTTACTTGGCTTCCTGTGGAGTCTGTGCTAAGTTTTAGAAATCTTGAAGAAAAACTAGAACAGTTCCAAGTTTCATGCTTACAGACAGGGAAGAAACAAAGAGATACCAAGGATTATGACATCTTCTACTACGTTTCAAAATCATGTAGGTATATCCCGTGCTATTTTGATTGATTTATAAGCTAATGAGTTCTGTTTCAGATGCCCTGTTCAAGCTAACGTCTTCATATGAAGTGCATATTCAAACGAATGTTGAACATGCAGAGATTTTTATTTTTTTTTTAAATTTGAGGGCAGCTGACCAATTACAGATAGGCATACAGTTAGAAACACATAAGGACTTTCCTGAATTCTGTGGGCTTATTAAGTGGAATTGTCTGTGCTAGGGATGCAGAGACACTGGTGCTGGCTTCCTATAGCTTATTCAGCTTTAACAAGGCTTGTTAAAAAATGGGTTCAGCACTGCTTAAGCATGGTGGTACGGCTTTTTAGGACAAACATGAGTTCAGAAGTAGTTTAGCCGCTTCTTTGTGGTGCAGGGGAACAGCGAATGAGCTCAGCGTAGTCCAAATCAGCTGCACTAAATAGGCATAAATATCTAAGTGTATTTGAATCCTGCCCATCAGCAGATGGGTATGGCTGGGGAGCAGTGTGGAAACACTGGGTTGTCCCCACGTGGAGACGGTTCAGGACTGCTGAGGATCCTGCTGTGGACTACGTTAGGGTGACTGTGTGAGTTTTAGAGATTGGATCAGGAGTGTGCTTTTGAAGCAAACATCCCTCT